ATACCCCGTTTACATAACCATTCCCTCCTTTTTTTTCTTTGCAGTTGTAAACAAATGGTGAAAATCACAATTAGAGACCCGAATGTTATGTTATTTGCATCAGAACCCCAAAGTTAATAGGTTTGGACCCAATCCACCAAGAGTGGACTGGCCTATTTTCTTACAGATAAAATAGTCCCTGCCCCTCAGGAAATTAACAGAATATAGGGGAGAATTAGGATATTATACATACACGTGATATATGTCTTCGTAATTACTGTTTTTTTTTTTTTTATAACGAACATTCAAAGAATAACCATAACTAATATATATAAAGTGAATTTAAATCCAGAGAATATTTACATGAATGTACGGGATCTTCCACGTTGAGGTTTCGCAGCCTTTTACAACATCAAATTTTGTCGGACAACTTACACCACGAATCTCGCCGAAATAATCTAAATTAATTGGTAGAACGTGCAACATATTTTATTTGTTTCTTTTGTCTAGAAACTTAACAAGTAAATATTTAACACATGTAATTAAAATAATAGAAAATAAAAAAGAAGTAAATGAAAAAAGTATCAAACCCGATGACTGGCTATAAAGAATAGACTCAATTTTCGTCTTTCGGCCAACAAAAAATTAATTTTTTTCAAAAAAAAAAAAAGAATAATATGGATATATGTAATTGTTATTCACGTTAGGTTCACAGTATCAGTCTAAAAGAACGTCTCCAAAATGGTTATATATTAAGCATGTTCATTATACTTAGTAATAGTTCTTCCCCGCGATTACAGCTAATTGGTCAGAGATGAACACCTGGTCAACACCCTCCATCCCCGTGAGAATATTTCGACTGCTTTCATTTTAATTACAGTGTCGACTGCGTTTTCAAAGACCAGTGTAGAAAGTTATTAATTAATTTTTTGAAATTAATACTATCTCTGCTTTCAATTATAAGACTAACTAAAAATTTAATTTGGTTTTAAACATAAGACTTCAACTTACCTTATTTATCATATTTATCTATTTTGCCTATTAATAATCTCTATGGTAATTGCAAGAATTGTTGCAATAGACATAACTAACAAAAATATTTTAGAAAAAACAGTGCATATTTAGTATAAATAACTAACTTCACTAATATTATTAATATTTGTAAATTATTTACCTAACTTGAACCGGAAATAATAATATTAAAATACCTTTCGAATCACTATCTACACTTGTCTTATGGTAATTAGTCTAGTACTGTATGTTTATTACAGCGGTTTGTCTAGGAACCAGTGTAGACAATTAAAGGTCACAAACCTTATATTTATAATGCTACCAATAACATTTTTTACAGTGTCTTCGATACACTACTGTTAATAATTTATTGCAAAAGCTGAGCAAAATGAGTTGGCCATTAAAAGCTAAGCATCATTAAAAGTGAAAAAAAATCAAGTTTATATATATTTGATTTTTTTTTTTTGGCCAGACATATATATTTGATTGACATCATATATAACCTGCTATAACTTTGAGTTTTCATTAACGCATGAGGTAGTTCGGCACAACTAGTTATATATTGAAATCTAGTTGTAAGTGTCCAACCAGATTTCTTTTCTACTGCTAATCCGTTCATGGTTATCGTATTTGCTGCCAATGTACTCGGCTGAGGCATTATTCAAATGGGGATATTGCTGTTCTCAACACCCAAAAGTTGTTGAAGCAGGGGATAATGGATTCACACTTGAGAATGCAGGGAAAATTACTTGCGAAACCAAATGTGGCTGGATCTGATTTAATGTGGGAATGTCTAAAAAAAGTCACATATCGGGTCTAGTTTAGCTAAAATAGAGGTGCATATAGGAAAGGAAGTGAAAGGTAAAGTTGTTTTCTTATTGCTTCTCTCATTTTTCATTCTTTCTTTACTGTTTACTTGCACTGTTATTGTCCAAATAAAAAGAGGAAAATGTATTGTTTAATATCAATAGTTTTGACTTAATTATATATAATTCCGTTCTTAACGATTTTTTTTTTGAAACAATAATGTAGAAAGGGTCTTTAACACTCTTTAACACCGATTAAAAAACCCCTTTAAAACCGGTTTTCTATCCAGCTGGTATTGAAACTGGTATAGAAAACAAGTGTCTACATTGTTTGATCAACTATTGTAAATAGTTCTAATACTTTAAAAATATTGCTCTATTTTTAATATTAGACAAGGAAAATTGTAATTTAGTAAGAATATTGTTGTACCAGTTTCTGAAGCACTCATCACAAGCTATTGGGTTCTCTGCAACAAACTCAAATATTTAAAAAGCCTTAAGGATAACCAAAGGTTTTGGGAATACAAGGGTTCATGTAGAATAATAGCTTGAAGCCAGTGGTTCGAGAATTGGCACAATGATCTCCTATTAAATTATAATTTTGGGAGGATTTCAAATAATCCCACACAAGCAACATAATTTCCAACGGCTGTCAAAACATGCTAAAATTTCACTATACTCCCAAAGACAATTTGTAGGTGAAAAAACATTAATTATTGCCCTTGTTGTACTCGTAAACAACCTTATTTTTCTTGTGAACCCGCTTATTTTGACCGTAAATTCTCATATTTCATTTATAAATCCTAGCTTCCTAACTTATTGTGAATGCTAACTCTACTTGTAAATTCTCATATTGGTATACTAAACTTTTTTATATTATTATCTAGTATCCAGCGCTTTTTTTTTAGTCCTATTATCAAGTATCTAAGTAACCAATTAATCTGATACGAGGTTTGTGACTTTTTCTCCCTATAAATGTGTTTCTTTTAGGACTTGAACTTGAGATCTAAAGAAATCTAGCGAGCCTTACATTGGCAGACCAACTCTTTTTTGGTCTCTTGGTATATTAAACTTTAAGTTGGCACAATAATACCCTTGAAGTTCAAAAATTGTAATAATATTATCCTTATGTTATTAATCCATTATTAATATATCTATATGACTAAAGGGCATGGGATGGGGGTGGGGGATGGCCCTCACCTCCGAGTCCACATCCACATCCCTGCTTGAAACTTAATCAATATTAATTTTTTTTAAAAGGAAATTATTTATAATGTTAAGGGTACTAATTTGTAATTGTTCATGCCTATTAATATTCAAATTAGCTGCTTGGTAATGGAAGGATACCTTTTAGCCCTTTAAATGATGAAATAAGAATGAGAACAAGAACAATAGAATGAGATCAAAGAAGATCTTATATAGAACTATTTTTTATTTTTGGTATGGATGAAAAAAAAATATTTAGATATACAAAATTAAAAAAATTAATCAAATGCCACAACTACCAATATTATATATTTAAAAAGGAATATAATTAGAGAGTAGACCTAGGATGGTCTTCTCTTTCGTAAACAACAGAGGAAAATTGCAGATCCAGAACAAGAGAGCAAAATTAGAGGACAGGCTGATGTGAAGTTTTGGTTCATAAAAAATAATAATAAATAATACAAACGATGTGAATAGGGAAATAAGATAACATGGGGTTGCGTGCTGAAGGTGACGCAAAGAGGTCCCGCGCCATTGGGTTTTTGGTCTTGACGCACATACAAGCTCAATTTCCTCAATTTGCCCCTTAACCCGCTGGTTCCCTGTTTTGTTTTTGTCATTTTTTATTTTGTTATAAATATTGTATATGTGTGGATGTCCATAACCCCCAACTCTTAGGATTCTTCATAGGATTCTTGATCTTTGAATGTCTTCAACCCATAACCCCCCAATGAATTACTTTAGAGGAGTTTTTCATGTTTATTGTCATTATTCCCTTATTCATTTTTTTGTAACTCTTGGATTAGACTTTTATGGTTGGGGGCCTATAAATAGAAGCCACATACAAGGCATTTGTACCCATATATGTATATGAGAAATACTCCTTGTTTTTTCTCCCTATTATTGTCTTGCTATCCTCTTTCTACTATCTAATTCTCTTATTTTTATAACATATTTTTTATTTTTACAAAAGAATTGTTAGGAGTTAGATCCCAAGTACATCCCAAGTGCCAATATATCGATGTAATATAAATTGAAACTTATTGATTTAATAGAGAACGTAATTAGGAGATACATTACTAGATATGTTTAAAACTAGAGTAGCTCTCACAATTCAAAGAATAATTAAAATTAATTATAGATTTGAATTTACCACTGTGGCCCCTATTATAAGTTATTCGTAACTTATCCTTACATACTAAGAAGTGAGTTAATTTAATGTAAATTTTCAAATTTATCATTACTAATTTCTCTCTCTATTTACAGGTTATTCTCACTTCTGTCTTCTTTTTCTCTCTTTTCACTACAAATTAAATAGAGGTAAAATTAGAAAATAATTATTAATAACCCGAGGAATGGCTTGTATTTGTAGCCAAGTCTGCTTTCTCCTAAAAACGACTCATAATAGAGACTAGAGTGGTATATCTTTGTAATAAATATATACCATCTTCGGTCCTTAATATAAAAGCTAGTTGAGTAATTTGATTAGGTTAAGAAAATTTGTTAAGTCATTTATTTGTAACAAATATGAGTTGAATTTTCTAGAATACTCTTACTAATTATGTGTATTAGCTAGAGTTATCATTTGATGGAATCCTTAGTATATGCAATTACTACAATGACTACTTTAGAAAAAGTTGATAAATATGAAAAATAAAATAGATTGGGATCTTATATTTAGAATCAAATTGAAAGTCAAATAGCTATTATATTTAGGACTAGATGTAGTGTGTGTCTATATATATATATATATCAATTCTTGTTGGCATAATAAGGACCCCGCTTGGTCTCTAACCCCACTTCGGAGACATGTTCAGATACCAAAGTATGGTGTCTCTCTCTCTAAGCCCTATTAATAAGCAAGACCCCTAGCCCACTTCCTCATCCCATTTCACCCCCGCCCCCGGTTCTTGGCTTCCCTACTTATCTCTCTCTGCCCATCACCTGTCTGACTGATAATTCCATTTCCCTTAATATACCCTCCCATACTACTTCCTTAGCTTTTATATAGTTTTCAAATTCTCTGTTTCTCTCTGACAACACCCCACTTCCCCTTTGTCCCTACACCACTTCTTACCAAACTCTCACATCTTCCTCCTCCTCCTCCTCTTCTGCGTCTTCCATTTAACAACATCCATGTCGCATAATTAATATATATATCATTCCATCTAGCTACCACCAACATTAGCAGACATATTATATTCCTCTTCTCGCTCTTCTCGCTTGTTAACAATGTCTTCCAGAAGATCTTCCTCCTCCCGTTCCAGACCATCCGGTGCTTCCTCTGATATCACTGAAGCTCAGATCAACGATCTTGTCTCCAAGTTACAACAACTCATCCCTGAGCTTCGCTCTCCACGTCGTTCCGACAAGGTATTCATCTATTTCGTTCTAACAAATGTTAACCTTGTCGAATCAACTTTTCAGTTCAGACGTTCTTATATATCTCGTTTTCTGACCTCACTTCTTCAGATCAGTTAAAAGCCGCCTCAAGATTGAACATATTATGTCATGTAAAATTTATAACTAGACGCATTATTCATCGTGAATAATGCAGCTGACCCTTTAAGCTCCGAGCAACGCGTTAAAAAGAAATATATATATATATATATATTATATGTAGCTGATGAGATATATTTCCTTTCTTTTTCTCCATCTCTTTCTCTCTCACAAACAAAATACAGCAAGCATACTTCACATTAGTTTTTGTGTGGCCTTGGTTTTGCTTGGGTAGATAAGTCACGCTCTTGTCTCCCTCATTCTCTAGCCACACAAGTTGATGTGCCTGTGGATTTCTCTCTCCAGTCTCTACCACCATACCAAGCATTTAGTTAATTTCACCACTTATATTATAATAATAAATAGTATATATTAATGCGTATATATTTCTTGGGCATGCAGGTTTCTGCTTCAAAGGTGTTACAGGAGACTTGTAACTACATAAAGAGCTTGCACAGAGAAGTTGATGATCTAAGTGAGAGATTGTCTGAGCTCTTGGCCAACACCGACTTCAACAGTGCTCAAGCCGCCATTATTAGAAGCCTTCTTATGTAATAACTAACAGCACTACGTGTTATCTAAGAAATAACTTATACTCCAAATATGATCGAGATCATATTATATATATATATATATATATATCCACGAGGTTATTTAGAGTGTGTTATTTTATGTATTAGTGTGACCTTCTACTTCTTGCTTAGACGACTACTGTTTAATCTAGTATTTATGTGATGTATTTAACGTGTGCACGTCCATCTTAATATTATTATTATTCTGGGAAGGTTCTGGCTGTATATTGACCAGTGCCAAAGTTTAGCCATTATCATCAGCTCTTAGTATATATGTACCTTTTGCTGCATGGTGATGAGCTGATCTTCTTCAGCTTGTTATTCAATATAATATGTATGTGGAACTTTTTGTTTAATTTTGTGTTGAATGTATATACCAATACATACATACATACATATCGAAAGCAATTACTATTTACAAGTTATGATCTCATTAGAATGATATTCATCAAACTATGTATATCTGATATACATAAAAAAAAATTGCCTAGTGTATAAATGTGAAAATTCTACTAAGTTCATAATATATAAACATTTAATATAGCTTACATGTCAGATTCTGTGTACCACAAATAGGACCCACAGAAAATTAGATATAAATAGAAAGGAAATTTTAATTTTGAAAATAAAATATAGGCCCCACTTTTGCAGTACAAAGTTTTGAGACAGGGTTGCATTATTTATCTGTGAATAGTTATAATTTGATATATATAAATATATATTATCGTATATTATATATATATATATATATTATATCGTATAATAATAACGATTTGGAGGCTAGCTTGGATGTACATTAGGGTTTGGAATGAAAGGTGGGTGTTATGAGGCAAAGGTGGGCCCATGTAGGTGGAAGTTGAGGGTTGAAGGGAGACTGGGTTACATGTGACAATGTTTTTTCGGTTATTGGCTGGAGCCAACCCGTGACATTGTCGTTGCCAATTTAGGACCACTTCCTTAACTAACCCTTCGGCCACCGTTTTCAGGTCCACAGGGTATGTTTGTTTTTTTGAAGGAAAAACATGCAAGTGCCTTAGAATAAGTTTTGACTTTAATAAATATTAAATATAAAAGTATTTAATTCTTTGTGAAAGAAGAATATTCTTTGCAATATTGTATTACAGTAGTACTTTGGATTTCAATTGTTTAAGAGGAGGGGCGAGAATTAATAAATTAAATTAATTATAATCCGTTGGCCAAAAAAGTAACTACCATAATTTTTTGGGAGAATCCTACAAAAAGAATCTTAAAATTACAATCTCAAATTAGGTTTGGTAATGACATTTTAATAGGAACTACCACAAAAAAGACCTTTAACAGCAGTTAAAAAGGGCTTTTCACGGTAGTTTTTGAGGTGTAATTAATTTTATCGATGTTATTAAAAAAGAATTTCATGGCAATTTTATACAGTAACTGCCATGAAAAAGTAAGTTTCCACGAAGGTTCTATTACTTAACCGCCGTGAAAATTTTGCTTTTAATGGCAGTTACTTTTTGTAACTGCTAATAAAAACACTTTTACCACAGTTATTCACTATAAAAAAATAGTAAATTACCAGCGGTCCATTTCTAGCAGTTAAAAAAAACTGCTACAAAAGTAGACATTTCTAGCGGTTATAACACAAACTGCTAGAAATCCGAAGCGCTTTGACCAGAAAGTGAGTGGGACCCACAATTTTCTAGCAATTTTAAACCAACTTCTAGAAAGTGACAGCTGCAACTATTGCCGCCATTTGGCATGAAGTTAGCGCCATATTTCCAGCGTTTAATTTCTAGCGGTTTTGTTGCTGGAACCGCTAGAGAATGCAAATCGTCGTTGCATTTTCTAGCAGTTACATGACTGCTAGAAATTTAAGCGAATTTTCTAGCGGTTTTCACTTGAACCGCTAGAAAATTTTTATTTTCCCGAGCAGGCCTGACACGTGGTTGCATACGGGTAGAGGTCGAGTTTCAACGCTACAAATTTCTAGCGGTTTTCGTGGAACCGCTAGAAAATCGGGGCCTATATATACCCCCTCCCCCTCATTTGCACTGTTTTGGGGAATTTTACAGGGAAGCTCTGCCGAATTCTCACCACAAAGTATATATAGATCCAGATTGTATTCTATATTTTCAGGTAAGAATAGAAATTTATTTATAAATTATTTTTGTTGTTATTTTTTATTTTATTTGTTTTATTATATTTTTTATATTGAGTTTAATAGACTGGTTTAGTTAGAGTTAATAGAAATATTTTTTTAATGATAGATTAGTTTATTTAGAGTTAATAAAAATAATTATTTTTTATGAGTTGATGGCAAATTTAAATGTACAAATATCTTTTCTTCAATTGTTATTATTTGATATTATTATTTAGAGTTAATATGAATAATTATTATTTCATATAATTGTTTGTTTTCAATAATTACTAGTTGTAAAATATATTTTTCATTACAATTGTTATTTGTTATTGTTAGGATGACTCGTCAACCAGGAAAGGAGCCGGCCGATTTTGATAGAGAAGGACCTAGCGGAGGTCATAGTGCTGGGGGTAATGATGCTGGTGAGCCATTCCCAAGCGTTCATGACTACGATCTGAGCAAGGAGGATATCTTGAGATTCATGGAGCATGATGATATCCAGCCTATTGAGGAGGCTCATTTCTCAGAGGATGAACCCTATGGTGATGTTGAGGAGGAGGAGGAGGATAAGGCTCAGGGGAATGAGAATCCCCATAATCAGCAATGTCCTGCTCCAAGACGCCAGACCGGTTTTGAAGTAGAGTTTGTAGGTAAGTATTTATTTAATTTTTTTAATTTGACAACTATTTGATTTATATGAAAATTGTTTTAATTTAATTAATGTATAATTAATTTTCTAATTAAATTTTGCAGATTCTAAAGGGAACAAGTCCTATAGGAGGGTGACAGCTAGAGAGCTGTCTATGATGACGAGCGGACAGGTAGTTGTGCTGCTGAATGAATTGGGCCAACTGACTAAGAAAAGTGGTCAGCTATATAATAAATATGTGCGCCTTCTTGGTCAGCAGTGGACTTTGTTCCCTATTTATGTGAAGGATTAGAAGAAAATCACTACAGAAAAGAAGCAGCAAGGTTGGGAAGTGATAAAGGTAGTATAAATTTATTATTTTTAAAATTAGTTAAATGAATATATATTTTTTACTTAAATTATTTAATTGTTTGATTATAATTTTTTATTTATATAATTAATTTGTTATTTATAATTTTTTTTAAATTAGTTAAATGAATATATAATTTATACTTAAATTACCTAATTGTTTGATTATAATTTGTTGTTTTTTAATTAATTTGTTATTTATAATTTTTTTAAATTAGTTAAATGAATATATATTTTATACTTAAATTACCTAATTGTTTGATTATAATTTTTTATTTGTTTAATTAATTTTTTATTTATAATTTTTTTAAAATTAGTTAAATGAATATTTTGTTTCTTAATTTACTTAATTATTTGATTATAATTTGTTATTTTTTAATTAATTTTTTATTTATAATTTTTTAAATTAGTTAAATGAATCTATATTTTTACTTAAATTACGTAATTGTTTGATTATAATTTTTTATTTATAATTTTTTAAAATTACTTGAATGAATATATATTTGTTATTTAAATTACTGAATTGTCTGATTATAATTTGTTTTTTATGTACTTTATTTTTATTTATAATATTTTTAAATTAGTTAAAATGAATAAATATTTTTTATTTAAATTACTTAATTATTTGATTATAATTTGTTATTTACGTAATTTATTTTTATTTGTAATATTTTTTAAATTAGTGAAATGAATATATATTTTTTATTTAAATTACATAATTATTTGATTATAATTTGTTATTTATAATTTTACTTAATTGATTGATTATAATTTGTTATTTATTTATTTTATTTTTTATTTAAATTAGTGAAATGAATATAATTTGTTATTTTTTTAATTACAAAGTAAATTTATATTAGGAGAGGAGCTAAGAGCAGATACCATTAAAAGAATTCAGGTGGCATCGAAGAACAAGAGGATTGACCTATGGCCGGAGAAGAAAGGTGATGGGATGAGGTCCCTGCAAGAGATACTAGCTGATATACCTGGTGGAGTCCCAGAGCAAGACTGGTCAAGTTATATGTATTTTACGATGACAGCTGAGCAGATGGTATGATATTATTGTATTAATTATAAAAATTTTATATCTTTTATCTAATTTGACTAATTTAATTTTTATATATTTTGTTTCAAGCTCTTTTCCAGAGAAATACTAGGAACGTCAGGCACCAGACAATTCATCATAGGGCTAGATCTAGGAGTTTTGCTATCACCTATGATGAGATTGTAAGTACTTAAAAAGAATTTGTACGTTGTGTATATATATTTAATTTGTAATTAATAATTTTTTTTAATTTCATTTACAGACAGAAAAGACACGACAAGAGCGGCATACACGCCCACCTATGATGAGATGTGGCCGATTCTGTACAAGCCTCGAGACGGGTCTCCTGCGTCGGGGGAGGTTGAGGAGATGGCAGTAAGTAATTAATTAATTAAATATTAATATCGCGGTATAAATATTTCATACTAATATTTTTATATTAATTTTGATAGGCGCGAATGACTCAGGTCGATACCGAGCTGCGAGAGTCTCAGGGGTTTACCTTGGATCCCACCGCCTTATTTTTAGCTGGTTGTGGCTGAGCGCAGCACCCAAACCGAGTTAGCGGGCTCGATCTTGGACCCATATCTAGTAGGTTGCCCTACTCAGGTTGCGCTGGGCCTTCACACACTGTGAGGAGCTTTCAGTCAACAGCAACGTCCCATCAGGCGAGTGCAGAAGTGAAGCGGCCAGGTTCCTCGTCCTTAAATGAGCTGTGAGAGGAGATCAGGTGAGAGTTGATGACCACAATAAAGGCTAGGATGGAGGAGCGTGACCGTTAGTTCCAATTGCAGCTTGACCAGTTGAAGGCAGTTGATATGGCCATGTGTGATGTGATAATCAGTTTCACTCCAAACATCCCGATTCTCGAGATCCCTGACATACACCTACCACCAGCCCAGTCCCTGCACGACCAGCAACTAGCCCAGCCCCAGCCTGATTAGCAACTTGCCCAACCCTAGTAGGAGGATCCAATGCCTAACGACGATGATGATGTAGTTTCTAC